GCCTCACAGTCACTAAAAGGATCTGATTTCCTCTTAACCTTGTGAGGTTTCTTGTCCTGGGAGACAGAGGGAGTCTCTTGCAAAGATGGAGACTGGCCAGCAGATGGCCCAGTAATGGCTTCAAACATGGAAGACGCCAGCTCTAAAGCGCTCAATGTCGAGGATAGCGTTGTCGATGCTGAGGCTTTCGAAGGACTCAACATCAGCGAAGAAAAAGAAACCGGCTCTGATTTTTTTTTTTTAAAGCTTCAGGATCTGAGGAAGTTTTGAAACTGGCATCAAATCCAGAGGATCCTGAAGAGAAGATGACTTTTTGGCAACAGAAAGGGAATGTTCCCAACAAAAAGTTTCAAGCATTGGGCCCTGCTGCAAAGAGTCGTGTTCGTAAAGGAGTGGCAGATGTAACAATGCTTGGTAACTTGGCCCTCACCCAAAGAAAAAAAGGCACTTAGAATGTCCATCAGTGAGGGGAATCTTACAGTTGCAAGAAACACAGAGCTTAAATAAAGAGCTGAAAGCCATAAGAGAAACGAAGCTTAGAAGTCAGACAGAAAAACAGACGAAAATCTCACTTCCAAGCTCTGGTAGGTTAATGCTCACAAAAAGAAAACTAAGAAGAACAAAAAAAGTAAAAGAAATTTTTAAAAAGATTGAATTCTACCATAAGCGAGAGGAACTCAGCTACAGAGTGATTCGAAAGCAGCTTCTCTTGCGGTGGACGAAAGAGACCTGGAGGAGGAGCTAGATTGGCGGAATTGGACACAGTGAGTACACAGGAGGGGTGGGGTTCCCACCAATCTGCTCACTTTCCAAATGAAGTCTCTGCGCAGGCACAAACACTATTGTATGAGGCACAGAGACCACGAAGAAGAACAGGTAGATACCAAAGGCTTACAGGCATCCCATTCACTTCTAGAATTTATTCTAACTGCAAAAATTAGCCAGCACTGTGTAGTGCTTTGCACACTGGACAACTCTGGAGACCAGGGTTCAAATCCCCTCTTGGCCCTCGAAACCTGCTGGGTGACCTTGAACAGGTCACATTCTGTCAGCCTTACAGGAAGGCAATGGCAACTCTCCTCTGAACAAATCTTGCCAGGTAAACCTCATAATAGGCCTTAGTCAGAAATGACTTGAAAGCCATACAACATTAGCAATGTAATACCCTAAAGCAGGGGTAGGCAACCTTTTTGAGCCGGGGGCCGGGTTGCTGTCCCTCAGACAATTGGGGGGGGGGCGAAGCACCAAAAATAAATAAATAAATATAAAAATATTTTTTAAAAAATTTAAAAAATATGCATGCACACTCTCTCAGCCCCAGAAAAGCCATGGCAAAACCCCTGTGGAGATTTTGCCAAGAAGAGCCCAAGAACAAGTAATAACAACAATAATCAATATCATCATGGTGGGCAGCGGCGGCAGAGGCAGGACCAGCCTACAGCCGGTCCAAAGGCCTCAGGGGGCCGCATCTGGCCCCCGGGCCTTAGGTTGCCTACCCCTGCCCTAAAGGTAGCAGATACCATCAGATCTTAGAAGCTAAGCAGGGTCAGCCCTAGTAAGTATTAGATGGGAGACAACCAACAGATAACAGGCTATAATTCAGAAAAAGAAACTGGCAAAACCACCTCTGAGTACTCGTTGCCTAAGAAAAATCATATGAAATTCATGCAGTTGCCATAAGGTGACAGGTGACCTCAGGACACATACACACACACAATCTAATGCAATCACAAACAATATGCTAGAGGCAACTCTGCTTAGCACAGACCACAGTAATTCATACATCACAGCAAGCAATTATTATAGTTACTGTGATCCAACTGTTCAAAGAATGTCATGTGTTTCAAACCAAAGGATAATATCTTAGAAACAGTAAGGTGTGAAAAGATCATGTATGGTAGTTTTTATTTGACTTGCCATTTTCAAAACCATGTCATCATCACATTTTAACGCTTATCTTTGCAACCATGACAGTTTTTAAATGAAAGCTGGAATTCTTGGGATTTACATTAGAAATAGAGTAGCAGTCAGAGAGCCAGTAAGATTGTTACATGACAAAGATTTTAAAAGGAATCTTTTTTAAAAAAAAAGAAATTTCAAAGATGCTAAATACATTCTTTTGTGCATGTCTTCGCTACAGAAGATATTAGAAAGATACATGTTCCTGAATCATTGTTTTCAGGGAATGGCATGGAAGAAGGATCAGTT